CGTATTTTCCGAGCATCACGAGACTTTTTCGCAGCTTGGTTATTACGTTTACGCCTTTCATAATATTTTTCATCTTTCTGATCGTCAGGGATCGGTTTTTTTTCGCTTCTTGGTCGTCTATGCATGCTTGTAATACTATTCGCACCCAAAAAGTGACGACTTATCATTGTACCTATTTTATATCAGTAGATTAAATATTTCATTCATTACTGACAGAGTTGAATAGTAATTAATTTCTTTTGTAATAATTTTTATTATCAATTGCTGAATATAATCATATTATAGTCACATTCATTATAGTCACTAATGGGTCGATCAACGTTAAGATAAATCGGTAATCATGCTTGATTTCGTTAATCATAATCAGATTATTGATCTCTAGTCTGATCTGGTCGCTATATTTGATCCTTTGCACTTTGCTACGGGCCATAATTTATGCCATAACACTGTCAGAGTTGTTGATAGTATTAAATGATGTATAAAGTGCAAACGATCAGTACTACATGTAAAATTATTCTCTTTAATGTGTTTAATTAAAATATCTAAAGAATTTAGAGACAAAGTAACTAAAGAACAAAGTAAAAAGTAACATGCCCCGGGTGAGGATCGAACTCACGACCTTAAGATTATGAGACTTACGCGCTGCCTACTGCGCTACCGAGGCGTGCAATGGCATATCCGAATAATAATAAATAGCCACACATAATTTATACAAACATTTATATTTTTATAAGTTAAACAATTGAAACCAATATTGACTTACTTGCATTGCTATTTGAAAACGCCGGAGGTACACTTATAGACTGCATTAAAGGTGGCATAGTAGTTACGAATGGTGGTTGAAGTAAAGATCCCGGAAGTGAAAATGCTGACAAGGACGAGGGTGTTAATGGCGATGGCGTTCGACCGATCGCTGTATCTGATATATTCGAACTTTCTAAAATGTCGATATTTCCAAAGTTGTAGTCTTTAGAACTGTATGGCTCGTATCTGCATACATCTATAAAATTTACAATTTTACCATATTGACATAATTTCCATTATCATTCATAATAAGGAAAATGTTGTAAAATTAGATTCCAATTTTATTTTGAAGAATATATGTTGTCAAACCATGCAGTGTATATCCATGAATTTTTTGATTTATTTAATTCAATTATTTTGGAAAGCAGTGTTCTTGTAATAATAAATTTATTAGCATGTATAAATTTTTTTATATAATGGCAGACTTGTGTTTAGTTTAAAGAGATGAAATACTAACAGCCCCTGTGGCCTAATGGATAAGGCATCGGTCTCCTAAACCGGGGATTGTGGGTTCGAGTCCCACCAGGGGTAAAAGTTGTGTAACAAGTAATTTTTTGTCAATCCCATAGGTTAATTACTTCTTTTTTGTCCTTATTTATGACTGCATTTAAAAAAGAAACAAAATTCTGCAATTAAACAAAATTAATATAAGTTCAACGCCGATGACGTTAAAAAGCTGATAAATTAAAAAAAGAAAAAAA